ACATGACCGACGTGTTTTTTTTTTTTTTTTTTTGGAGCAGTTCCTAGGTGAAGCCAATCTATCTGATTCTTAAGGTACCTTGTTAAGTGAACCCATATGATTCAGTCAGAATAGAGCTGGAAGGGACCTTGGAGTTCTTCTAGTCCAACCCCTTGTAGTGGCTGTCCAGTCTCTTCTTAAAAACCTCCAGGGATGAAGCACCTACAACGTCTGAAGGCAACTTCTGTTCCACTGTCCTCACTGTTGGGAAGTTTCTCCTTAATTCCAGTTGCTTCTCTCCTTGAATAGTTTCCATCTGTTGTTTCTTGTCCTGCCTTCTGGTGCTTTGGATAATAATTTGACCCCCCCTCTTCTTTGCAGCAGCCCCTCAAATACTGGAAGACTGCTATCATGTCCCCGCTAGCCCTTCTTTTCTCTAAACTGGCCAAACCCAGTTCCTGCAACCGTTCTTCACATGTTTTAGTCTCCAGGCCTTCAATCGTCTTAGTTGCTCTTCTTTGCACTTTTTCCAAATTCTCTCAACATCTTTATTTGTAATGTGGGGACCCAAACTGGATGCAGCGTTCCAGATGTGGCCTTACTAAGGCTTTATAAAGTGGTAGTAGTACTTCACACAATTTTGATTCTATGCCTCTGTTTATACAACCCAGGATTGTATTAGCTTGAGTCTTAATGGAAAACTGTGATCCTTAAGTTATGTGTGTTTTCTTAATCGAAACTGGAGGTAAATGCTGGTTTCCGGTAAAAATCATTGTACGTTGTGGCTACGTGACTGAAGGATGCTTATAAATGCAGGCTGGTTGCCAAGAATTTGTTAAGCGTAATTAGGCAACTGCAAGGGGACAATGGCCATCAGAATTCTGAATCTATGTCATAAGTGCCTTTTCTTTTTCTTGGGGATTTAAGCAACCAGTCGTAAATCAAGGACTATCTGCATGGAGTGCAAAATACAGATCCCCAGTGAATAAACGGGAGGAATCTAGACAGGTTCCACTCACTGAGAGTGGTGCACTCTGGAGGTTGTCCTTGGTTAATTATGGTAATTGAGACCCAGAATATATGTTGCTTAGGGATGTGGTTAGAAAGCATATAACCACACTTCACAACTGCATCACTTCACAAAACAGTAGCCCTGGTGCAGCAGGAATGTGGTGAGGCTGGAGGTGGCAGTTACCATTTGGGAGAGAGAGTTACCAGAGCAACAACATCAACCCACTTCTGCAGGCTTCCCCATTGACTTTGCTTGTGGGAAGCTGGCAGGGAAAGTTGCAAGAAAAGTTGTGGTATCACCCCTGACTGTGGGATACCACAACTGTCATACATGTGAGCCTGTTCCAGCACCCAATTCACATGACCATGAAGGTGTTGAGATGGCCAGGAGGATGCCGAGTTCTGATCATAAATACCACAATACCATTGTAACATTGAACTGAGCAAGCAATCATTAACCAAGGATTGCTGCCTCTATGGTATCTCTATTAAATCTCTACTATAATAATATATAAACTGCTTCCAGCTGATGGATCCGATAATTGCATCTTCCCATCCTAACTGTTTTGCTATTGTGTATGAATTACAGTAATTTGCAGTTTTGAAGTGCTGGTTTCAACAGAACACAATCACAACCAGCACTTGTAGAACAGTAACACTTGTCACCACTCCTTTGCAATCCACAGACTGTCATTCCCAGAAATGTAGCAAAATGCTCCTTTTCTGCATAGCAACTGTCAAGTGAAGGTAAGCAAATTAACACCTTCACTAGTTCAGCTTGACAAAAAATCTTTGGATCCATTGCTGGGAAAAAGGAATTCCTCACTGTCACCCACCAGGGATCAGCTAGAACGTTTCTCAATAGTTCCAGCCATTTGTTTTATATATATATATATATATAAATATATGTGGATATTTGGTTGTTCGGGTTTTCTCCCGCGTAAGATTCGAAGTATCTAGGCAACGTTTCGATGAAGTCTCATTCATCATCTTCAGGCTTGTAGGGGTGTGTGTGTTCTCATTGGTAGGGGGTTTGGCTGTGTTGTGATTGGTTGGGGGGTTGGCCGTGTTCTGATTGGCTGGAGGCGTGTTCTGTTCAGGTGGGGGCTTGGTTGTGCCCCTACCAATGAGAACACACACACACCCAATCAGAACACAGCCAAGACCCCACCCAATCAAGTCACACCCCCACTAGCAGTTAAAAGGAAGAAGCAGCTGCAAGCTCACATCACTCTGAGAAGCAAGAGCCGAAGACAGAAGCCTGAAGATGATGTATGAGACTTCATCGAAACGTTGCCTAGATACTTCGAATCTTATGCGGGAGAAAACCCGAACAACCAAAGATCCACATACAAATACCCGCGAGAACCTCAGAAAACAAATATAAATATATATACATATATATTGATTATATTAATAACCACACCAAAAGGAAAAATATTCTCACCAGGCCCAAATAGACATTCATGGGGTGTTTACAACTATTAGGCAGAGCCTTGGCCCTCTCCCATGGTTAGGTAACAGGTAAAGGTTCCCCTCGCACACCCGTGCTACTCATTTCTGGCTCTAGGGGGTGCTGCTCATCTCCATTACAAAGCTGAAGAAGAGCCAGCGCTGTCCAAAGATGTCTCCGTGGTCATGTGGCCGGCATGACTAAACACCGAAGGCACACAGAACACTGTTACCCTCCCACCAAAGTGATTCCTTTTTCTACTTGCCTTTATTTTACATGCTTTCGAACTGCTAGGTTGGTAGAAGCTAGGACAAGAAACGGGAGCTTACTCCGTTACGCGGCGCTAGGGATTCGAACTGCCGAACCACCGACCTTTCTGATCAACAAGCTCAGCATCTTAGCCCTTGAGCCACCACGCCCCTCTCTCTCATGGTTGGTCCCCTCTCAATAGTCTTTGAAGATAGGCTGTTATTCAACCCAGAGGTGTTGACGGTTCTCACTCTCTTCCCAATTAGCTTTATTGGCCAACTGTTGGCCCCACTGTTTTGGAGAAGAACAAAGGCTTTTTTCTGCCCACGAGAATGCTTTACATCGGAAGACAAAGCAAAGGGAAGACAGGTGGAGGCGGGAGATAAGAATCACGACACCGAAAGTTGGCCTTCTGGACCAGGGACTCCTTTCTCAACGCGGGTCCAAGATGAAAGAAACAGCAGTATAGCTCCAGCAGAATGGATGAAAGGCCTTACCTGGCATGCCAGAAGACCTGAGAGGCCAAGGGAAGGGAGGGTCTGAGGGCAGGAGGTCTTGCAAGGCAGTTTGGAGGAGATGGAGTTGAGTCCAAAAACAAAGCATGGAATTCATGGTCTCCATCCATCCCTTGCTAATTCTTACCTGGCCTCTTATCACTTCTGCTCTAAGTCAGGGCCAATCACCTGACCTTCTCTTCCAGATGATGGGGAGAAAAGCCTTACCAGGTTTTGAACACCTTGAAACTGTTCTTGAAGAGGCCGAAAAAAATATATATGGGGAAACTTAACTTTCCTATCAGTACAATAAAGAGAATTGGCGTAAAGTAAAATGATCAATTGGTGAGAGGTTTTGTCTCCTCATGGGAACTCTAAGTAGGAAGGACTTCCAAAACCCTAAAGGAGAGAAGCTCAGTCACTAATCCAAATTCATTTGAAGAAGGATTTCATCCTCTTTTGAGAAGATTAGCTTCCTTAGGGCTTGAGATGGCTGTCCTGAAATCAAGATAACTGTTTATTTTCAGTGACAAAGTGTTTAGAGTGACGTTCCAAAATGAAAAGCTAAATGTTTTGTGCATTCTTAGGGTTTTGTTGCATGAAAATAAAGTTACAGGAAAAAAAATACCGATCTGCACTTGTGCATTGGCCAGTTAATTCCCATTAGTTAGTAAGACTGGATCTGCAACTTTTTCATTTCATTAGACTTTCTGTCCTGTCCATAACATCTAGCTGAAAACAGCCTGCCTTCCATGGAGGACCTGTGTACTGCATGGCCAGAAAGAAGGCTGTGAAAATATCTACAAGATCCCTCGCATCCTGGACATAAACTGTTTCAATTCCTTCCCTCAAAACGACCCTATAGAGCCCTGCACACCAGAACAACTAGATACAAGGGGAGTTTTTCACCCGAATGCCATCACTCTGCTAAACAAACAACTCCCACAACACGGTCAAACTATTTACTAAGACTGTATTACTATTCTTCTCATCCTTCCTATTACATATTTCCTTAGCTTCTTATGACCACCACTTTGTTGCTTGTAGCTTATGATTTATATTGTTTGATTTAGTATCCTAGTATGATTGATGTTGATTGCTTATTTAGTATCCTATGACTATCACTAAGTGTCCATTCTTCCAATTCAGGATTAATGCATTTTTATGATGACTATGATCATAGTTGATCACTTGTTGCTTTTATGTACACTGAGAGCTTCTGCACCAAAGACAGATTCCTTGTGTGTCCAATCACACTTGACAATAAAGAATTCTATTCTATTCTATTCTATTCTATTCTATTCTATTCTATTCTAT